AAACAGACTTGCCTGATGCATCAAAGTTTTTATTAGAATTAATTAATAACAATTTTATCCCAAAAGTCCACATCCTTTTACCCATGTCTTTCTGTCTTATAGTCACACTCCATTTTCCAAAAGCATCCTATGTATGTATCCCAACTGTTTTAGTTTTGTCTACATTCTGCAATTATTTTTTTGAATCCTAATAGCTCTATAAAAGCAGTTAATAGTTTTTACTACATGGTAATAATTATCTCTCAGAGTTGTTTCAAAGATGAATATTTATTATCATTAAATACATTAAATATTATTATTAAATACTTAAATGTTTATTATCATTAAATATTGGGTGTATACTTTCAAAAGTAAAAACATACATCCACATAAAAACTGTACAAAGAAATTCACAATAGTATTATTCATTATACACCAAAAATGTAAACCACCCAAAGGCATGCATACATAAAATATGATGTATACATATGATGGAATATTATTTAACAATAAGTGAAGTACTGATACATGCTAAACATAGATGAACCTTAAAAAACATTATGCTAGTGGGGTTTCTCTTTGTTTTGTTATTGTCTCTTTTGCTGTGCAGAAGCTCTTTAATTTGATGGAGTCCCAGCTGTTGATCTTTGCCTTCACTATCACTGCTTTGGGTGATGTGTCTGTAAAGATGTCTTTTATGTGCATATCATGTAGTGTTTCATATGTATTTTATGGTTTCAGGTCTTATGTCTAGCTCTTTAATCCATTTTGAGTTGGTTTTTGTTGGCGAGGTTGTGGAGAAAAAGGAACTCTCCTGCACTGTTGGTGGGAGTGCAAACTGGTCCAACCACTATGGAGAGCTGTGTGGAGATTTCTGGACCTACTAAACATAGAGCTTCCATATGATCCAGCAATTCCACTCCTAGGTATTTACCCAAAGGACACAGAAACATCAATTCCAAAGAACACCTGCACCCCTATGTTTATAGCAGCACTATTTACAATAGCTAAGCTTTGGAAACAACCCAAATGCCCAAAAATAGATAAATGGATCAAGAAGATGTGGTGCATATACACCATGGAATATTACTCAGCATTCAAAAAAGATAAACACATGCAATTTGCAGCAACATGGATGGAGCTGGAAGGGATCATGCTCAGTGAAATAAGCCAGAAAGAAAAAGAAAAATACTGGATGGTCTCACTCATAGCAGGAATCTAGAAAACTTAAATAAGGGACCAGGAAAAAGAATAACTCTAAGAAAGTAAAAATCAAAATCAACAAACAACTATGAACCAGAGACACTCTATGGGGGGTAGGGGGTGGGAAAAGGAGGGCTTGGGGTCAAAATAAGGGGGTTGTAATTGTATGGGGAATATAAAAATAAAATTTAAATTTAAAAAAAAACATTATGCTAGTAAAAAAAAAAACAGTCATACACAAAAGATTGTCTTTCCATTCAGATGGGAGGTTCAGAGCAGGCAAATATATAAGGACATAAAGGCAATTACTGGCTGTCTAGGGCTGGGGAAAATAGGGGGAATAGTGACTGCTAATGGACATGGAGTTTCTTCTGGGGTGGTGAAATGTTCTAAAATTAGATTATAGTGATGGTTGCATAGCCCTGTAATTGCACTAAAAGCCCTCACATTGTTTAAGTGGGAAAATGTAATTGCATATAACTTATATCTCAATAAAGCAATACATGAATTTAATGTCATCAGCTGGAAGTCAAGTAGTTAATCTGCATCTTTGACATGTTGTGTTGAGAATGGCACTTCACCTCTGTGTGCATCCTCCCCCCAAATCCATAACTTCATTCTACCCAGGAGAAAAGCATTAGACAAGTTCAAATAGAGGGACATTCTCTAAAACTATCAAGTCATTAGAAATAAGGAAAATTAGAGAAACTATCACAGCCTAGAGGAAACTAAGAAGATGAAATGATTAAATATAATGTGGTATCCTGGATGGGATCCTGGAACAAGAAAAGGACACTGAAGGGGGAACTAATGAATCTGAATAAAATATGGAGTTAACTAATTCAATACAAAAATTATCAATATCGGTTCATTAACTATGACAAATGTACAATAATGTAAGGAATTAATAATCAGGAAGCTTTGCTCTAGGGTATATAGAAACTGTTTCTCTGTATTATCTTTGCAAATTTTCTATAAATCTAACACTGTTGTTTTTTGAAAGCAATATACAAGCATTAGTTAATGATTCTGGAACTTGTCATAAAAGTCATAGTACTAGTAATTATTCATGTAAGTTTTCTCAACAGACTACCATAGAAAACCTAGTTAGCCTCCAGTTTCACATGAAGCAAACATATGCTGTTAAGCTTCTGTCCACTCAAGGAACTGTAATCTCAGCTTTAACAATCAGATAGAAACCTGTACCCAGTAAAAGAGAAACAGAGACAGAGAGAGACAGAAAGAGACAGAGAGAGACAGAAGAAAGAGGAGGAGGAGCAGGATGTACTGAAAACAACTCAATCCCAACTTTCTTAAGGGAACCATATGCTACCTATTCCATATAACTACAGCGAAGAATTAAATATTTATTAATTTATTTATATATGGGCTATTTTATATATATATATATATATATATACATGGTAGCAAATTTCAAAACATCAAGATGATAAAAAAAAAGTTTATCTGTCATGATGGTGCCCAGGAACAGAGACCCGACCAAGTGTAGACCCACATATTCCTACTCTGCTAGGCTCTTGGCAATCTCTCTTTAAACATTCTGTTTCAATCAACTGATTTTTACAGTCTCCTTTCCTGTCCTCAGTATACTCTGCAAAAATGACTGTCTACTTTCTGGTGGACTAAAATGGCTCCAGGGAGCTGATGTTGTCAGAACTCGGCACTTTGCCCTGCAGCAGTGTCTCCTCGGGCAGCTGCCTTTCTCCTGCTCTAGCAATGGCAGGACCCCACAGAGTGTGACCTCACTTCATCCTATAAAAATGATTGCTCTTGTAATACTTTCAGAGGGCTCCTAAAGAAAGAAATAGTTCCACTTCTTACGTGGTCTGCCATCAGGATTTGAAAATTAAGTTGCTTCTGGTCCCAATGATATGACTTGCTGTCTATGTCTCCAGATCTTCGAACACATCCAACCTCTGCAAGAACACCCTTCCTGCTTCTTTACCTTCAGATTTTGGCTTCAGTCACTAAGACCAGACAGTCCTCACTAACCAGCCCTAAACAAACCCAAATCCAGATCAGGTGATCTCACAGCAAGCACCATGCCTTTCCTCTGCCTAAGTATTTATCACATTGTGTGATAACTGCTCTTCGAGCAACAAGGTATGTGAAGACATTGGCAGTGTCCCTCTAGACCATTGTAGAATCCTCAAGAGCCAGGAGGACATTGACTGGTATACAATAAAAAGCAAATAAATCCGTTAGAGTGAATGAATACATTTCTTCTCTCATAAAAATACAATCACACTGTTTCCCCTGTAAATGCTACTGTGCTCTTTCTCAAGGGCCTTGACATCAGGGTGGAGATTGGTACAAAGAACCAGTCTTTCCAGCCTCCCTGGTGGCGCAGAGGTTAAAGTCTCAGCACCATCAAGCTATTGTCAGCCACTGCGGCATGAGTTCAATCCCTGGCCAGGGAGCTGACCCACATGGCACAGCAGACCTGTCCTGTCTTGCCCCCTGCTCCCCTCAGCCGTATATTTCAGTAGATCCACCTCTTCTGCTCCCCACTCTGTCTGTGGTGAATTCTCTCACCCCCCACACCTCTGGTCTACACCCCAGTTCTTATATGCATAAATAAATCTTTAAAAAAAAGAACCAGTCTTTCATGTCATCACAAATTCCCCTCATGCCCCCCCCAAAATGTCAGTCCTTAAAAACAATGGCCCAAATATATTTTTAAAATTTATTTTATGTCACTTTATTTGGAATAAAGAATAGTAACAGCAATGAAACGTCAACCACCACAGAAAAATAAAATGAGTATGAAAGACTCAATCTTTCTCCAAGACATTTCCTCTCCAGGTGTTTGCTCCGATATCGAAGAAGAAGGGTTAAAACCCAAGCTATGGTTGCACTCATAACATATGCATATCTTAAAAGTGATTGAACTCAATCAAAGATATTTGGAAATAATTAAAAATAATTAACAATAGAATTAAATGTATTCTTTATCATCCCACTAGAGACGCTCTTTCCTCTAGGGCAACCTTAAAGACATCATTATGTTAGCTTTATGTTCACGCCTCCATGAAATTTTTAAAGTATATTTCAAATAGAAAACTGAAATATGTGAACTCATTTTGCTAATTAACCAATTTCCATTTGAAAGGACTTTTTAATATTAAAATTAAAATTTGTATAAATGTCTTCTTACAATATATCGAAATATTTAAAATTCAGAGAAGGGTCATAGCTACATTTTTTGAAATAGTTTTTTTCCATGCCTGTATTCAATGCTTTTTTTCCTTATAGAAGTAACATTGGTTCACAAGACTTTATAGAGTAAAGAGGAATAGGTTTGCACTTCTACAGATGCCTGTTATCACCACACCCCCACCATCCAAGCATCCATAGTCCTTTATCCTAGAGTATTGCCCCCCTCCCTCCTTTGTTCCCACAAGGTCTGGCACATAGTAGCCTCAAGTGGCCTCAGATCTGCAGTCATAATCCTCTGTACCCCACAACTACTAGGAGATTGCAGCCAGTAGATAAATGTTCAGCTTCTCTTCCTCTAGACAGAGAATCCTGAAGCACACTGCTTCATCTGCAGTTACCCACAGTAGGAGTCAGCTCAGCAATACCCCTTATTTTGGGTTTTTCTTACTCTGTCACACTCTCCTCAATAGCCTTAATCTAGCTTCCTGGGTTCATCACTCAAATGAACCACCTGCATTTGTCTCAGGCTTCATCTTGGGAACAAAAGCATGGAGGGGGTGGCAAGGGGCTGGTTGTTTTCTGCTGCTGCCTTTGTTTTCCTGTGCATCTGCACTGCATTTCTTTCTGTTTCTCCTTAGGTCACGAAGATGCTGGCAGTGGTTGTAATTCTGTTTGCCCTTTTATGGATGCCCTACAGGACTCTTGTGGTTGTCAACTCATTTCTCTCCAGTCCTTTCCAAGAAAATTGGTTCTTGCTCTTTTGCAGAATTTGCATTTATCTCAACAGTGCCATCAACCCAGTGATTTACAATCTCATGTCCCAGAAATTCCGTGCAGCCTTCAGAAAGCTCTGTAACTGCAAGCAGAAGCCAGCGGAGAAACCTGCTAACTACAGTGTGGCCCTAAATTACAGTGTCATCAAGGAGTCTGATCACTTCAGCACGGAGCTTGATGATATTACTGTTACCGACACTTATTTGTCTGCCACCAAAGTGTCTTTTGATGACACCTGCTTGGCCTCTGAAATAACCTTTAGCCAAAGTTGAGTCATAACTTAAAAGGAAATGGACCGCAAAGTAAATGAGAATCTGTGCTGTTATGCCCAAGAGAGGAAACGGTCAATACTCATATAAAAATACAGAACAGATAAAGATTTTGCCAATGCTCTAACAAATTCTGGTCCAAGATACTTTAACCTATGAGAAGGATTCATATTTTCCCTCTGAGAGAACTAGTATTAAAAAAAATCCAAAGAGTAGACACTGCACATGTAGCCCTTTCCACTTAATTTAAGAAAAGTATATTCTGGGCTATGAAGTTTAAATAAAATCCAGACATCAATTTGTATTATTCATAAAAATTTTGTCAATGTAACTTCTTAACCTTTTCCTCCAAATTACTTATACATTTGATAATTTGGAAACATGCAAAATTTTAAATATTTGCATTTAAAACCTCACTGTACCAAAGTATAGTGTTATTTCATGAATATCTGAGACTATAGGGGAAAATAGAAAAACATTTTATTTATTGATTCAAAATGAAATTTCAAACAAATATACTCAGTATAAAAAAATAGAAATATCATAATACCTATAAAAGTCTGAGACCTTTTATATCTTACAAAATATATGGTTATCATTCAATTATAATGTAAAATAAACCAGAAAATAGCCAAAATTACAAATTGAGGAGGCATAGATTTGATTTACAGATAAGTCCACCTCTTGTCAGCTCTTTGGGTCTTTAAATGATGTGTGAGACAGGAGAAATATCCAGTTTAAATAGCTGTGAAGATGCAAATTAACTTATGATTAATATAAAAAGTATAGACAAGACTGATTCTTTCAAATAAGGATTTACTTTTTCTCTGAAACTTTTAAGGAAGAAAATTCTTCTTGTGCACTTGTATATAAACTGCTGAGCCATGTCAAGTGAATTCTTCTACCTGAATCTAGCTTAAACTTTGAGACATTCACAAAAGACTACCTGCTATTCAAAGCCAGAGTTTATTGCACCCCAGATGAAGACTCCCCACTGAGCATTGCAGCATATGGATTTTAACGTGTCCAAAATTGTCTTTTCTTCCTGATACTTATCATTGTGGTTATTTATTTTTCCAAATGCAATTTTGTTCACATATTCCAGATCAAAGCAAAGTAAAATTCCATTTACTATATTTCCAGTAGAGCTAAAATTGATTTCATCCCATTATCAATATCCCTCTAGAGTCGCGTCCCTCTAGAGCTGCTACTGCAATGATTATGAGGATGGTGTGAATATGCAGCTGCCCAAGACATAGTGCCAAGTCCTACTTTAACCCCTTTCAAGTGACTCAACTACTAAGATGTGATCAATCAGTATCTCCAAGAATATAAATTATCCTGGAGGATAGTTCAGGAATAGCTGATTCTTAAGAACTGGATCAAAAGGTACTGGTAATTTTTAAGTGCCACTGAGCCTGGCACTTTCCTCCTCCAGCCTATATCCCTGTTTCGTGGATTTTTTTCTGAAACCTAATGTGAACAATAACTGCCCTTCCCACCTTTTTAATAAGGAAAATGTCACACTATTTTGGAAACTTCTGTTTTAAAATGCTGCTTTATGAAGACTGCCATCCAGAATTTCATTCCAGAATATGCTGTTGTGAAAGCTGGCCTCATCTCTGCCAGGAAGACATTCTTATCCTTTCAATGAACTAGCAAGCAAACATTTATATCTGAATCTCCTAAAAGTCTGTCTGTGTGACATTAAGCCATCTATTTTAGTTGACTTGCCACCCTGTAGTAAATACTAATATGCTGGAATCACAAATAGAACCCCCGAGTGACCTGCCCTAATCACACAGGTACACGTGCAGGTGTATGCGAACAGGTGACTTGTGCACAAATTGCTTAACAAACGGGCTTGGAATATATTAGATTTTTCATTAGGGAAAGGAACTGTTATGACTGAGTCTATGTCCCAGGTATGCCAGTAGGTAGTTAATCTGCTGTCTTCATCAGAGTCTCACAACAGCTATAATTTCTCTGATGATTCCAGGGTTCAGGAATCAATGCAAATTCCTGAAATTGTTAAAATCTGAGGAGAGAAAATTCATTTCTTTTTCAAGACAGGAGAGTGCTAAAAATTCCTGTGACCTGATCACCTAATTAATAAACACAGTGTATTTTGCTGAGTAGTAATATCAGATATTGAAAAAAATGTTCAATAAATTTTACATGTTATACGAGAACACTTCCACCTTTGAAAATTAAACATATGAGCTCAGATTTTCCATCTTAATTTTTAAAATGTTATTTGCTAATAATCTGTTAGTTTTAGACCACATGGGAAATTCAAAAGAACAGAGTTCATGGTGTTTCAATTCTAAAGTAAATGCCATTATGAAATTAAATGTTCCCATGCAATGTGCAATAGATATTTGGGTTTACACAGGAGAGATGTAACTTCTAAAGTATTCTTTTTCACACTGTACTAAATCATAAAATACTTCCATAAATAATCAAAACTTAATACACTATCAAATGAAAAATAAAGAGCTAGATTAAAAATTGCTAATGGAGTGAAGTAATATTATTAAGGGCCTCCCTTAATAAAATTCCTTGAGTTATTTTATTACTTTCAATTTCATTAATTGCTGAGTGCCTTTGGTTTGATTTTGCACCTCAGGTGTTTAGGTAAAGGGCACAGATCATGAGCAAAACAAGCAAACATAAATCCCCACTTAGGACTTCTCCACTGATATTGTGAATATATTTCTAAAGCTTTACTCCAACACGAATATTCTAAATGCTGAAGAAAAATGGAAAAACACCAAACTGTATTTCTAAAAAAGCTAACTGCACAGAAGATCTTGCCAATATTTCAAAACTAATGATTGATTTGAGCTAAATACCTACTAAAATCAAAGAAAAGCTATAGCCACATAGCATAACTGTCAAATGAATCTTAAATTGGTTAATTTTCTGAACAATTTTTTTGAATAACAAGGACAATATAACTTCACAAAGTTGGATCCACGTGATTTGCTCTTAAAGAATAAAAGTTATAGCTCTTAAATTATCTTAAATATGTAAATATGATAGAAGGGGAAATATTAATCTTTTTTAAAAAGGAGCTTTTAAATAGTTTACCCATGACTCAATGAATTCTATAAATATCATGTTCAACATTATTTTTTCCCCTCATCTGCAATTCACAAAGCAACTAGAATATTTATCTATGGAGTAAGAAAACTAGATATGATATAAAAGGGCATCCAGAAACAACTAGTTAGTTCCAGATGAGAGGAAAAATTTTTACAAATGTTTAGTATGTTTCATTCCCCTTGGAAGTAGCAGAGCTTAAAAATTTCTAGCAATTCATTTTATATTTCTCTTTAGTCTGCAATAAACCACTATCGAAACCTAGATTTGACTGAGAGAATGTAAATTTTTAGATTAATACACCTGAAGCTGTACAGAGCTCAATAGTAACAAATGGTATTTTTCTTTCTCCTTTTCCCCTCTCAAAATCTTGTGCACCCACAAACATTGCTTTCCTCAGAGCAGACAATTTCATCTGACTTCCTGCAAGAATAAACCTGGACATGAAATCTTAAGTGAAAGTGTAAATATTCTTTCAAGTATATTCATATATGAAAATATTTTGTTGTTCTGATCATTTTGGTATATTCATAAAATCATGTTTTAATTAAGGAAAAATCAAAGTTTCTTAAGTATATATTTTACTGTCTCCATTTGCATGTGTACAGTTTAACTACCCAAATGGCTTTTTCCTCACAGAATAAAGTAGAGGTCTGGCATTTCAGAGGTTTCAATGAGTGACTAATAAAAGAATAGTTCATGTGTGAAAAACTCCTGGAGAAATTTGCACAAGAAAACAAAAGTTTCTTCCCATTCTGAAGGAGCTCACAGCTCAATAAGGAAAAAATAGGCTAATATGATATCATCTCAAGATATAACTGGTTGGCAATATTTGGAATATGAATTAGAAATGTCAGAAACGATTTACAGAAGCAGATGTAAAAAGTCTATTTGGAAATTCTTTAAGATGACTTTTAATATAAAAATCATTTACATGTATAATTCTATTTTGTGACCTGTATTTAGAAATATTGATTCATTTAGTTCTTAATTTCTTTAGTTATGTAAGAAAACGAAAGGGTCAGCTAAGATTCTGTAATATTTTTGCTTCTTATTGTTTGATCTGTAAGTATAACTCAAATTGCTCCACAGAAAACTTCATTTACAAGAGTTGCACATTGAGAAATAATTTTCTTACAGAGATAGTTAAGGCCAAATGGATTGTGCTGAGATAACCTCGTCTGTGAGATTCTGATTTCAATATCCAAATAATCTCTTTTTAAAAGGGTGGCCATGAATGTTGGTTGTTAGAACATACATCTGGATTAAACAGTACAGCTATAACAGTGCATTGTCACAACTGTCAAATCTGGATTCATCAAGAAAACAAAAGACAGTTTTATAGCCAATAAACAGCAATCCATAAAATGATTGCCTGTATGATCTCACGGAGGAATATCAGGGTAAAGCCCATACAATAGGCTCTCAACTGGAGTAATGGAAATAAAAACACTTTGAAAATTGTAAAAGTTAAAAGACTGGAAATAACATTGATTTAAATAGAATTCCTTAACTTTGTTGAGCCCAAAGCAACACCCATAAGTGATTATTTTGTTTCTCACAGAATAATGGATTTGATTCTTTTGCATGTGCCTGCTCTCTGACTTACAAAGAAGAGGGTATGAATTTTCTCAAGAATGTTATGGACTGCTATAGATAAGGATGGATACTTTCTAAAAAAAGAAAACCAAATACAACATGGCACTAGAATAAGATTCCACCTAACCTGAGATCTGCATTCAAAAGTCCGTGAGAACATTCTCTGCATTCCTGGAATGGCACTAAATGTACCAGTAAAGGGACCAAATGTTTATCCCCTAGCTAAAAATAGAAACCACTCCCACTTTCCTATATGTAGAATTTTCCTGAAAATATATCTTAAAAGTGCCTTTAATTGGCCCTGCCCCAAGAAATTCTCAAATCCCAAGTGATTTTGATGTCCAGAGGCCTCTGAGCACACCATGCAAACACCAGGCTCTGCTCCTCCCATGTAAAGTCTTCGAGGCTCTTGTCACATAATTCTTAA